TTTGCACCATGTCTAGTTAACGCTAACTGGAGGTACATCCTTCAGTTAAGCACGTTAACTGCTTTATCGATCACATGTTATATGATGGGTGTCGATAACGTCGATAAAGATGTTTAACTGGGAGTTAGAATTAACTAGACATGGTGCAAACGGCCCTTAGTGTGCGCTTTAGTTGGATTTCTGTGTGGTGCAAATTATTTTTTGCTGCTCTCATATTCATGTTTGTTTGTGTTATTTCTATGTTCAGCATTTTCATGAGGAAGATTTGTTTAGTTTTTTCTATTTTCTGTTTTATATTTTGGGATGTGCTATTTATTGTTGTGTTTTTAACCGATTTTGTCAGATGTTTGGGGGTCAGCTCAAATTTCTTGCATTCTAACAAGAATTTTAATTGCTCGATCTGCTTGGCTAATTTCTGTTTGTGGTTGCTATAATACTTTAACCTTGTGCATTTGTGTTCTCCGTGTTTGTATTTCATATGTTTGTAGTACTAATACTTTGCAAAGAAAAAATAACAATATAGTGGATGACTTATACAAATGCAAATATATAAACGCAAAAGAAAAGCAACATCTTACCAGCATTGCAGCAACGGCTCCCAGACTTTATGGGTTGCCAAAAATCCATAAGCCAGAAATCCCTCTACGTGCTATTGCCTCGTCCTTTAAAGTCCCATGTTCATATTTGTCTAAATATGTTGGAGAAATCCTAAAGCCACTCATCTATGAAGACTGCAATATAAAAAATTCTTTTGAATTAAAAAATAAGCTGTCCGATGTAAATGTATGTGAAGAAGATGTACTTATTTCGTTTGATGTCGTATCTCTGTTAACAAATATACCAACAGCCTTAGCTTCAAGAATAATTATGAGAAAATGGGCAAAAATAGAAAATATGACGATGATTCCTAAGAACAAGTTCCTAAGTGTTCTAGACTTTTGTCTCAAGGACAACAATTACTTCGTATGTAACAATAAATTCTATTCTCAAACCTTCGGAATGCCAATGGGCAACCACCTTTCTCCCACTATTGCTGATATTGTCATGGACGAATTACTTGACAATACCATTCCGGAGCTAAAATACTCAAACATCGATATTAACTTTATATCCAAATATGTAGACGATATCTTTGCTATAGTTAAACGAAAAGACGTGAATATAATCTTAAAAACCCTCAACAAATCCCACCACAAACTCCAATTCTCCATGGAAATGGAACATAAGGCCAGCATCCCCTTTCTTGACGTTCACATCCACAGGGAAAGAAACAATCTCCTACTGGACTGGTACTCAAAGCCGTCGTCTTCGGGTCGTCTGATTAATTTCCTATCTTCACAACCTAAAAAAGACAAAATCAATACGGCTAAAAATTTAATACACAAAGTAGTCACATTGAGTGACAGGAAATTTCACGACATAAACATACAAAAACTCAAAAAGTTCCTAAAAAGTAATAGCTACCCAGAAAAGCTAACACGCGACTTAATAAAACAAAGAACTACAGAAATAAACGGCCACCTTAATAAAACGTCGAGTAAAGTAACAGCAAACACCACAAATCGATATTTCAGTGTTACTTACATTCCGCAGATTACCGAAAACTTAAATCAACTCATTGCTAAACAACAGAACATAACGCTAGCATACAAATCCAATTGCACTTTATCCACAATATTTACAAAAACAAAATCCCCTATAGAATTCAAACAACAAAACAATGTGGTTTATGAAATAAAGTGCAATGGTAAAGAAGCCGAAAACTGCGACAAAGTGTACATCGGAACAACCAAGCGAGCTCTGGGTACTCGTCTAAGCGAACACGAAGCAGACATAAAAAACAAAGAAACAGCACAGCGCTAGCGCAGCATATTAATACCAGTGGCCATACAGCTGATTTGGCGAACGCAAGAATACTTGATGTAGAGAAGAGAACAAAAAAAGGATTCACATTAGAAAGCTTAAGAATAATGCAGAAAAGGGACAATGCAATGAACAAGAAAGAGGATACTGATGACATCGCTGCAGTTTATTTATTATGTTTATAAATATCAATAACATTCAGTTTAGACAAAGCAGCCACAAGCGTTGGTATTTAGTTTTACGTTATAAAGTTTAATGTTAAATGTAATGTAAGTTAATAACTCTTTTGTGTTAAACTTAGCTGTTTATTCTTTATGTATTCATATGTTTATTGGTTCTTTGTTGTTTTGTTAATGTTTTATATTTATTGCTGCGCAGGTAAATAAACAAAAAACTCCCCTGAAGATGCTAAAAATCTTAGCGAAACGTCGGGAAAAAGCTAAATAAAGTATTTTTATTTACACAAGGGTTAGATCAGAAAAGCCTAACAAATACAACAATTTCAACCAAACTTTTTCGTCCATGTAAAATCTGCCAAACGAAAACTTGTTTTCGCTGAAATCTACTTGAAAACTCAAGTTCCACCCATTCCAATCGGTGTCTTCACTAGTTTTTAGATATATTTATCGAAGTGGAAGTCATATTTTATTATCTCTAATATGCTAGTTGGGATTTATTGCTAATTGACTGGCCAAATTAAAATACAAATAAAAGATAAAGGTTGCTAATAATAAGAAAATGAGAGCAAAAGATTTTGGTTTTGCTTTTTCGTAGCAAAACTGTAAAGAAAGGATGAAAGAAATGTCAACAAAAACACTAATACCATGTTCTGACCGACATCGGAAACATGTTCTCTTTGCTAAAACTGGATTTCGACCTAAAACTTGTGTTTTCGTCCATGTAAAATCTGTCAAGCGGAAACCGGGTTTCGCTAAAAAACTAATTGGAAACTCACGTTCCACTCATCCAATCGGTGTCTTCACTAGTTTTTTTGATTATTTATCGAAGTGTAAGTCATATTTTATCATTTTTAATACGCCATTTCGGATTTATTATTAATTGGCTGGGCAAAGTAAAATAAGAATGAAAGAAAGAAAGAAAGGTTGTAAATGAAAAGAAAAGATAGGTTAAGGAAAAGTGGTTTGGTTGTGTATTTGTATAGCAAAACTGTAATCAAAAGGTGTAAGAAATGTCAACGCAAACACTAACAATCGGTGCGAACAGCCTTCATGAAACTTTGGCTAGTAATATCTATGGAATGCCTCAATTGTTATAAACATTACGATATATCAAATTAAGGGCTATTAAATTTAGTACCTCACGTTCATTTGTCATTTATCAATAAGTCTCCAAGTTTTTAAGATATTTAGATAAAACTTACAAAAACTATAATTTTCCCTTATGAATTTTCAGTTCTTCATTACTTCAGCGNTTACGATATATCAAATTAAGGGCTATTAAATTTAGTACCTCACGTTCATTTGTCATTTATCAATAAGTCTCCAAGTTTTTAAGATATTTAGATAAAACTTACAAAAACTATAATTTTCCCTTATGAATTTTCAGTTCTTCATTACTTCAGCGACCAAGTGAAAAATACAAAAAAGTGAGACGCGATTTATTTCAAACGTTTTAATGTTTTCGGATGTTTATATAATATTAAAAGGACCATGGGCTTGGTCACGCCGATTTGGTCAGTTTTCAAGATCGTGGTGAATGAAGTCAAACATGTATTGTCAAAGTTTAGGAATCGTTTGATAAGTTAATAGTAGTTTCAAGCATATAAGTACTTACAAACATTAACATAATACAATTAGGGTGAGAAACGCCCACTTTAAGTCCATTTATGTTGTCTTGAAAATTGGTGCGGAATGGTTTCATTAGTCACCGAAGAAGCACATTTTTCGCGGTTTCTAAATTTGCCGTTATATGAAGGTAGGGGATAAAGCAATAAGTGTTTAGATATACAAAAATATTTTAGTTAACTCCATTATGTGAGAAAGTGACTGTAGATAAATGCAATAGTCTTTAACATATCCTGGGAAATCCTTTTGAGGACTCTCCAATTGGACGATATTGCTTTGCATTCGGCTTGAACGAAAAAAGTCACTCCCTGGCACACTTTTCTGTAATCCGGTTCTTTCATTTAAAAGTTATTTATACAATAAATTTCCTTGATAGGCTAGTCCGATCTGATTATCTTTAGTGCAAATAAAACAAGTTTATTCCACTATTACAGCCCAACGTTTCGCTAAACTTATTAGCATCATCAGGGGCGCGTTGTTTATTTTTGTAGTATTAACACTTAAACATTTTAAAACACCAGATGGTATTGGATTTTTAGCAATTAAGTTTTTAAAATGTTTAAGTGTTAGCACTACAAAAATAAACAACGCGCACCTGATGATGCTAATAAGCAGGGAACGGATTTTATGGAAATTGCCTTTTTTTCTGCTAAAGAGATAGAATATATTCGATTAAGAATGTCCACGATTTAGCTTTCCCTGATTCCATATATACACATTTGATGTTGCCTTTTTTAAGATATTTGCCTTTTTTTGGCTTTTCTACCTTTAAAAAAGTGATTATAGCATTTACAATTTTTTTTAAAGATTAAAAAATGTACACATGCCCATGCGGCTTATAGAAGCGCAGGGACCTCTTGCCAAATTGGTGTTGGAAAAATTCAAAGCCGTTTTCTGAGCAAACGTAGGCTTGAAGACAATAAGGGGTGTGGATAAAATTGTAAAGGGCGATGAAAACGCCCTTATTCCTGATAATATGAACGTTTCAAACGTTCTATATTTAAATTGGGCTCCACTTGTATCAACTTACGTCGAGCGCACATTTAGTACATTCAAGGCTTTTCTTCGCGAAAATCGAATGAAAATGCTGTCAGAAAACTTCAAAATGCATCTTGTGGTTCAATGTTACTACAACTATACAGATTAAAGTTTTAAGGTCTAGAAACTCGAAAGGATAAAATAGTCAAAGATTCAAAGTCCAAATTTTTCATATAATGAAACTAGTTCACAGTGTTTCTCTTTTTACTTGTAATATAAACATTTCTAAAATAAATGTATTTTTTGATTGTTCTTCGTATTTTCTGTCTTTTTTTAGTGCCTTATTTTGCTTTTTTTGCAATACCTAGTGCCTTTTTCGCTATTTTGTTTTGCCGTTTTTTGCCTTTTTTGCAATACCTAGTGCCTTTTCCTGCCTTTTTCGCTATTTTATTTTGCCTTTTCCAGCCTATTTTGTTATTTTATTTTGCCTTTTTTTTAGGTTTTTAGGTCCTAAAACTCCGTTCCCTGCTAATAAGTGTAGCGAAACGTTGGGCTGTAATAGTGGAATAAACTTGTTTTACTAANTTTATTTTGCCTTTTCCAGCCTATTTTGTTATTTTATTTTGCCTTTTTTTTAGGTTTTTAGGTCCTAAAACTCCGTTCCCTGCTAATAAGTGTAGCGAAACGTTGGGCTGTAATAGTGGAATAAACTTGTTTTACTAAAGATAATCAGATCGGACTAGCCTATCAAGGAAATTTATTAAACATATACAAACCAATCGAAAATAACAACAACTAGTTATTTATACAATTGAAGAGAAATTTTTGTAGAA